AGAAAGTGCCTCAGGCCTTGCCCTCACCTCGGCTGCTGTTAGAGCAAAGCCCACAAGAAGCCTTCCTTCCTGCTTGGCCCTGCCCTGCCCACGCTGCAGCGGCACTGCCATCCCACTGGCCCCCTCCCCGTTTGCCACTGGCATGGCAGAGCTAACCCCGCCCTGGGGGCGCGTGCAGGTGTACCTACACACGTGTACCCGTGAGTGCATGCGTGTGTCCATGTGTGCTCGGGGGCTTGCCGCCGTTGTAGAAATCTGCCCAGAGCAGAGCCCTCGCCCCCGGTTTCTACAGTCTACTGGAAGCAGTAAAAACTGCTGCCCAGATCCCGACTGCTCCATATGGCCCCGTGTCTGCTGTGACATCCACACGGCTAGAGGGTGACTTTAAACCGAATGCTGGAAGAAGGGCGCTCAGAAATCTCTGCTGACTCAGGGACAGTGGACTCAGCGTCGGTGCTGAATTCCCAGCCACACTTGTTGCTTCTCAATCCGAGCCTGAAAGTCAGAGTGAGCAGTCACCAATCCCTGCATGCCACAGGAATCAGTGGATGAACCAAACACACCAGATACACCACCAGTACGTATCCTCCGGCAATAAACGTGCAGAGAATGCATAAACCAAAAGGGTAAGTCCTCAACTGAGAGGAACTGCTGAAGCCAAACTGACCCAGAGATGCAGAATAAATTGCCTCGGAGACTTCGTTACCTGGACAAAAACAGAGTAGGTCCCACAGAGTGTCCGTTTCAGCTCAGCAGCCACTTTGAGGAAGCAGATGATCACCTGCAGCCCACTAAGAGCCACCAGAACAGAGAGTAAGATGATGTGCCACTCCACCATGTTAGCAGGTTCGGTGCAGCGGGACCAAGCAGAGTAATCCCTGAGGTACCTGTCAGAGAAACAGTGACACAAGGTAAACGTGGGGGGTGCAAGTCAGCTCAAATACCCATGGGTTTACCCATAAAATGCAGAAGAGCCATACTGGGCTTTATACGCTCCAAGTCCTGGAGCCAGACTCCCGTCTTCCTTCGCACCAGCGTAACTCCTGCGCAGGTCTGTCAAACTCAGCCGAGAGGAAACGGCTTCCCCAAAACCAGCTGCTTCACCAGTTTCCTGTCAGACACCCATGTTAGAAGGACACTGCTGTATTTTCAAATGGCAGAAGCCAAGCTGAAAGCGGGAATTTTCCCGTACTGCTCTGATTTCAGCTCTAGGCTAAGTCCTGCCATCAGTACCGCACAGAGCGCAGGCCACCCACACGCCCTCACTGCGACCGGTGCACGCAGCCTGCACGGCCGAGCTGAGCTCAGGGCCTGCCGCAGTTTCCAGCTGCACCAGAGCCACACTCGGCATCCTTGTGGGCCGCCACGAGCACCACGACATGGACGTGCCCTTCGACCAGCCAGATGGGCTGTAGCCGGGGGTGGACTGCAGGAACCATGGTTACCTGCTCGGTGTCAGTTGCTTTTCCCTAAACACTCGTAACTGCAGCGCTCTGGGACAAACCTGGGGCGCCCCGTTCAGCATCCTGCCCTGCACGCTGGACTCAAACTCTCGGATTCCTATTTCCAAACAGGATGGAAAAGCTGGCGACACATAGCTGAGACCGCAGGACGCACTGCAGTGTTTGAATTTAAAGCTGGCTTAAGAGACCACAGCTTAGGCCACAGTTTTATTGCTGTTGGATGCTGAGGGAATTGTCTGTGACCCTCTGACCAATGGCACCCTCAGAGCGTTCAAAAGCAGCTGAAGAGCTTGGCATTAGATGGTCTGAAATATTCAAGCCATAAAACTTTATCTTTTAAAGGGAGAAGGTAAAATCTTGTGAAAGCAGCCGTGGGTTCCAGATCTGAATCCGACCTTTCTTGCCTCCCGGAGGCAGGAGCAGGGACAAGGTTCTGTCTGCCTCACTGGGGTCTTCTACAAGATCCAGCAGCTTATGCAAAACCCACCGGTGGTCAAACCTCAGACTTCACTGAGCTTCGGGAGGTAAAGGGAAACCTTTACCATGTCATTAAATACAAAAATGCCACCTATAATCTGAACCAAAACCTTTAGGAAACTGAGAGAATATCCTGCGGCTGTAGGCATCAGGGCACCCCCTCGGTTTATGACTGTGAGCACCAGCAGGTAGCGGACCCTTAGCTAGAGGGACCTCCAGGGCTGCTCAGTACAGAGACTCATACGTCGAATCTTTCCTTACAGGGAGGCAAATCCCTTTCTCTGGGGGTTCTGGAACGCATTGCGGAAGACTAAAAGCCTCGCTCGCCAGAGCAGCGCCGGGCTCAAGGGGCTGTGCCATTTTGTGTGGAGCTGAGCGGGTTTGCCGACCCACCGCTCTGATGAAGGGTCTCCCCCGGAGGAGTGACACCCGCGTTTCTTACCCTCCAGCAGTGTCCTTGAAGATGTAGTCCCATCCACCTGGGGAATTGCAGAAGGGGCCTTGGATCAAGCCCAGGGTGAAGACGATGCAGCTGTATCCGGAGAAAGCAGCTCCCAGCAGGGCCAGCACGATCGAGAGAAAACTCTGCAGCAAAGAGTGAGCTGCCAGTGGGGGGCTGCACCGGGGGTCAGTGCCTGGGGCACACACTGACCTTGCGCCTGCCCGGCTGCGGCCCCGCACGCCAGCTTCCCATCTGCACCCTGTTC